TGCATGGATGGATGGATGTATGTGCATGGATGGATGGATGGATGGACGGACGACGGACGGACGGATGTAGGTACGTATGTACGTTCGTACATGCATATGTACGAGTAGAATCTAGAGTTTTACTACCATGCACCCAACCCTTCCTCTCCACACCCAACTCTTGTCGCCGGCCACCCTCCGTTCGTCGATAACCACTTCGGCCCCTGATCCCATCCCTAGATCCCACCAATCACCTCCATACATCCCGCCAGCCCCCAGCCCTAGATCTCCCCAGCCACTGCCTTAGTCACAGCTTGCCTTCAGCCCTAGTCAACACCCCAACCTCACCCTAAACGGAAGCCCGTCCCTAGACGACTCCCCTATCCCTCAACAACCGCTTCTCCCCCTCTAATTGTCGCTGCCCTAGATCCCGTTTTCTTGGCCCCTCCCTTACTTTTACTGCACCCCACCACCATCATCCCACCCTCTGCCAACCCAACCTTTTTCCGCTATCACCACCCTCAGCCTACTCTTACCCTTTGCTTTCTCTGCTTTTTTACTTTCTCTTATCCCCTTTTTACTACTGATTGTATTGGCTAACCTTAATTATTTTTATCGCTCCTGTTGCTTGTTTTGCTGATTTTTGTTGTTTGCTACTCACTCTACCTTTATCATTGTATTTGTTGCTTGTTTTTTGGCTGTTCTCTTTTTGTAGGTGCTGCTCTATGAGCATAGTGGCTTTGGTTAGCTATGTAAATTTAAGGTCATATCCTGGAGCTAGGGCAGGCTAGGGGGAGGTGCAGAGGGGTATGTCTTTTGTGCGGTTCGGCCCATGGAAAATAGGGATTCTCACAGGTAAGTTGATTGAGTTGGTGCAATTTCTCAAGAGGAGAAAGATTCAGGTGGCATATGTGCAAGATACCACATTGGTGGGAACCAAGGTGCAGGGAGTGGACGAGTTTAAGTTGTGGTATTCCAGCTTTGCTCGGAGTAGGAACGGAGTGGGTGTTTTGGTGGCACTGGAACTGCAGGAGTTTGTGGTAGTGGTTCAGAGGGTTAGTGATCAGTTGATGGCTATCAAGTTAGTTTTAGGTGGATGTGCTATTAATGTTGTTAGTGCTTATGCCTTTCATCATGGCTTGGAGGACGAAGTTAAGGGGGACTTTTTGGATTCATTAGATGGGGTGGTATGTAGTTTTTCGCAGACGAAGAAAGTCTTCATTAGAGGCAACTTTAATGGACATATTGGGGACTTAGCTGAGGGCTTCGAGGAGATGCACGGTGGATTTGGCTTTGGTGATAGGAACACAACAGGTGTTGCACTCTTGGAGTTTGCTTGAGCGAGTGATTTGGTAATCGCTAACTCCCGCTTCCCCAAACGAGAGGATCCTTGGTTACCTTTGTTAGTAGAATGAGGAGGTCGTATATAGATTAGTTTCTTTTGCGTGGGGGTGATTGTGTGCTCTGTAAGGACGCTAAAGTAATCCAAGTGAGAACCTTACCACACAACACCAACTGCTCGTGATAGATGTCACGATCAAGTGGGTAAGGCCTAGATGAACAACATGTGGTCTAGCACGTATTCGGTGGAGGATTATGGGTAGGGAGAAAATCCCCGAGTTGATTACTCAAGTGCAAAAGATGGGTGTATGGAAGTCTGTCACAGACATAAGCCACCTAAATCGCGGTACGTTCCGGTACAGCTACAAAATTTGCTAGAGGTGACAAATTCGGTATGAAGGGGGTAGCTTCATTTCGGTACGAAGCGGTACGGTGTAACATGTATTCTGTTCGGTGTACTAAAACTCAAAACATAAGTAAATAAAAATTTTGAGTATCAGTAGATAACGATAAAGAAAAGGTTAGTATTTAAAAGGACTCAAGAAATAAAATTACAAAAAAACTTAAGAGCTGGGCTGAATAAGACAAAATACATGTGATAGAATTTGGGATGGGGTAAGGATAACTGGATTGGGCTATAAGACACTTGGGCTGAACCACATTAAAAGATTGAATCCAATCGATTAGTTAGTTCAACTCAAGAGCTTATATACCGATTATTTTGCTCTTGAACTTCCGATGTGGGATGACACTCTAACAACATGGTATGACTCCACACGCTAAGTTGAAACTTGAAAGCTACTAGGAGACTCAGAGCAAATCAGCGCAGAGGCTTATTTATACAAAGTGCAGTGGAAACAAGCATCGTTTGGGAGGAGTCGCGTCAGCTGAAGGGTTGCGTCAATTGTTTTTCCGACATGTGACTTTCGTTCCCATGGAATCGCTGATCCTAGGCGATAGTACGATTGACTGAAGGATTTCCAATCTAGCATGCAATTTGAATTGGTAACCCTAGGTCGATTTGCGGAAGTGTACAGATTGAATTGCGATTTTGACTACCATGGGTACGCCGTACCGGCTACGATCAGATCGCAATTAAATTGCGATTTGGTACGTCTCATACAAATTCGGAAGTCGCAGCCTAGGGAGCAAATTCTGTGACTATGGCCAAAGAGGCCACAAACATGTGGGCTCAGACTGCTAACTGCATCGGGGAAGCCGCCGCCACTGTTGACTACATCAGAGAAGCCGCCAGGGTGTGAGCTGTGGTTCTAGGAGTCGACATAAAGGTGACTGGTGGTGGAGTGATGTGATTCGGTTGAAGAGTGAAGCTAAGGTGTCATATAGGAGGCTTGTGGATTGTAGTGCAGAGGAAGTTAGGGAGACTCTTCTAGTCGAGTACTGGAGTGTAAGATTGCCGGTAAATAGGCTAAGTTAGAGGTTACAAGGGCAAAGAATGCAGCTTTTTAATGCCTTTGTAAGGACATTGAGGAGCAGGGCAGTGATAAGAGACTTTTCTGGCTTGCGAAGACACATGAGAGGATGGCCTGTGATCTAGATCACGTGAGATGTGTAAAGGGAAGTGATGGTAGAGTGTTGTTTGAGACAGCTAAGGTGGCTAATCAATGGGGGGAGTATTTTCGTGGCTTGCTGAAAGCGGGAGGAGATCCGATGCTAGACCAAGGTGAGCTGGTGCGGTCTGAGATGCATCAAGACTTTGGGTGTTTCAGGCATATTAGTCCGGAGGAGGTGGCCCGGGCCATCCGTGAGACGAGAAGTGGAGAGCCTTGGCTCCATGTGGGATTCCGGTGGAGTTTTGGAAGTTTGTGGGCCGCAGTGGTTTAGTTTGGTTAATTAAGCTCTTTAATGTTATTTTTAGGACGGCTAGGATGCCGGACGAGTTGAGGGAGTATGTTGGACCCTCCCTTTAAGGGTAAGGAAGACATTCAAAGCTGTGAGAATTACAGAGGTATTAAACTGCTTAGCCACACCATAAAGGTTTGGGAGCACATCATTTAGTATAAGTTGCGGAAGGCGGTTTGCATTTTTGAGAACCGGTTTGGTTTGATGCCTGGCCGGTCAACCCCAAAGGTCATTCACTTCCTGCGGAGGTCGATGGAAGAGTATAGGGCTAATATGGATATTCATACGGTCTATTGACTTCGAGAAGGCATATGACAGGGTGTCGAGGGAGGTATTTTGGAGGCTTGAGGTGAGAGGTGCCGATCGCATACATTCGTGCATTCAAAGATATGTATGGCGGGACAAGAACTAGGGTAAAGACTGTCGGGGGTGACCGTGAGCCTTTGTCTTTAGAGATGAGGTTATACCAGGGATCTGCTCTAAGCCCTTTCTGTGATGGACGTTGTGACGCTAGGAGTTCAAGGGGAAGTTCCAGGGGAAGTCGCATGGTCCATACTTTTTGCTGACAATATTGTGCTTATTGAGGACACCCACAAGTTAGAACTTTGTCACCATTCCTTGGAAACTAAAGGATTCAGACTAAGTAAGACAAAGACTGAATGCATGGAATGTCATTTTAGTGGACGGGAGATTGAATCACGGGTGGAAGTTAGGATTGTTTTCCACCTACTTTCCAAGGTATACAAGTTTTGGTATCTTGGCTCGGTAATCGAGGCAGATGGAGAGTTGGAATGTTGGACGAGGATGTTGCGCATCGTGTAGCTTGGGCCAAGTGGAGGTCGACTTCAGGGGTTATGCTATATGGTGGAGAGTGCTGGGAAGTTAAGAAAACTTAGAGACGGTGGAGTGTTGATGCCTCTGTGTGTAGATGCGAGATACTTACTTTGGTGGGTGGGAGTAGGGGAAGGGGGTGATTAGTCAGGATCTAACTCTTCGTGTCCTTACAGAGGATATGACCTTAGATTAGGGGTGGACACGGTACGGTTCCGGGACGGTTCCGGTTCCGGAACCGCCGGTTCCGGTACCGCCGGTTCCGGTACCGCCACCCCGAGTAACCGGATAGTATACCGTGCCGGCCGGTATCGGTTCCGGTTCCCGGACCGGCGGTTCCGGTACCGGACCGGCCGGGTTCGGCCCCCCTTCTATATATTTTTTTGCTTTTTTTAAAAATTTTTAAAGTATAAAATTGTAAATTTGTAATTGTTTAAGGAAAGANATGCAATTGTTTCGCCCCCCACCTTTTTTTTTTAACTTTTTTGCATTTCAAATCAAAAAAAAAAAAAAAAAAAAAATTATACCGGTACCGGAACCGGACCGGTACCGCCGGTACCGGTACCAAAAAATAGGTACCGGAACCGGTACCGAAAGTGGCGGTACCGGTACCGGTTCCCGGAACCGGTGACACGGCGACCTTGCCGGTGACGGTGGCGGGTACCGGCGGTACCGTTGCCGGTGACGGTACCGTACCGGTACCGTGTCCACCCCTACCTTAGATAGGAGCGCCTAGGAGAGCTATGATTAGGGTAGTCGGGTAAGCACATTGGGCTTAGTGGTTGTTTCTCCACCCGTGTGCTTTGTTTGCTTTGTATGCTTGGTGCTTTTTGCTATCTCTAGTATTTTATATATTGTTGAGTCGGGGGTCTCTTGAAAGCAGCCTCTCTACTTTTGTGTCGGGGCAAGGTCTGTGGACACACACCCTCCCTAGACCCTACTTTGGTGGGATCCAACAGGGTTTTGTTATTGTGGTTTATATTTGATGTGTTACACTCTCTAGATGGAATATCAGCACGACAACACATGCTTCCATGACTACATCAGCAGACTATTTTCACGTTGATCAATTACTAAGATTGTTAGTAATTAACGATGGCAGAGGTGTGAGTAACATCCAGGTGTTGGCAGTGGCAACCATTATGGAATTTGTGAGTTCTGATGATGATTGTTTTTTGCCGATCTTTGTTGTGTGTCACATGGGATGTGGTGATTGTAGTTTTTAGGTGACCGTATTTGCCTTTGGTCATTGGTGACCAGCTGTATATTTGGATAAAATCACATTTTGTTGAATCCAAAAAAGTATTTATGAAATTTTCCATAAATTAAATTAATTGGTGAATTGTTTTACATAGTTCTACATTTCAAGATTGGTGAGAAAAAAAGTTATAGAATTTTATGCTCCCTTTTGCCCTAAGTAAACTTCATCTTTCCTCTTTCACGGTTTCTAGCATTCATCATTGAAGTTTGACCATTAGCATCTTCTTTTATATACTGTCAAAAGTTATGATAAAATAACATTAGAATTGGGAAATACGGATTATAAATTAACACTATTTTTAGGTTTCTTTCATGCTATAAGTAATACTCCTCTCATCCCTATATAATCTTCATGGTTTGGATTACGATGTTTGACTGAAGTTATTTTTAAAATTAAAACTTATATTTTTAAAAACTACTTCAAAAGTTTTACAAAACAAGTAGTAACGACTTTTTTTATCGAATGTCAATAAAAATAGGTAAAGAGAATATAGTTTGACTATGTGAATAGTAAATGTGAAGATTATTTAGGGACGCGGGGAGTATAATTTATGAAATATTAAAGCTCAAACTTAACAAGTTTTGATTCCAAAAAAGCAATGGTGCTGCACATGAAATGAAAATAACACATCAGCCATTGTAAATCGCAATGGGAAATTGGGAACTTGTTTTGGGGACAAAGGGAGTAATGTATACTGGTGGTGCACGTTTGGACCTTACTTCTTTCCATCTCCAAAGTCTAAATTTTTTCTCAATTTTTTATATTTGAGAAATAGAAAAAAGTATATCCAAAACGTTCAAGTTTCTGTGAATGTGGACTTAGTTTAGTGAAAGGGTGGGTGAACAATGCAGCTTCCCAATATTGGACGTATTGACTTTTGTCTTTTAGTTGCTTCATCCATGGCCGACAAGGCTCTTGGAAAAACAAAGCTAAGGAAGATAAAGCTCAAACTTTGTCCCACTGCAACAAAGGTTTATGGACTACAATGAACTAAATCATTCATGGGGGGCAAGGCTTTCTCCCAAAGCTTGGTATAAGGAAGACAAAGGTCAAACTGAATCCCACCACAACGTTGTCGGTGTGGACAATGATAAACTAAAAAACGAGAAACATTTTATGATGTTTATGTAGTTGGTCATGAGGTCTCTTTTTTTATGTAATGTGCATATTTCTAAAATTTGAAATCAAATAGATTGTAGGGAGTAGCCAAAATGTTTCTATTTCAAGATTACAATAGAAATTATCAAACAGAGAATAAAAAGTAAAAAAGATAATAGTTTTCTAGAAAGGATGTGTTAATTCAACGACTCATCACCTAGCAAGTTTGTGTTGCGATGATATGCAACATGTTTGGTTATGTTGTCTTACAAGTCTTTCACGTCATGTATTCATGGATAAGCTTTCAATGTGATATGATGAATGAATTTAAAAAACATTAATTCTAGAATGGAAGACTACATTTTAGGGAGTAAGACCACAAGAGATTACTTTACTTTCAATCTTCTTAAAAATGTGTGAATGAAAATTATAGAGCATGGCTTGATCTCTTTCTCAAGAGTCTATCATACAATTTGGTGACATCAATAGTCAATGACTAGGTGGATCTATCCGCACACTTTAGGAATCAAAATGTAATAAATTTGTTGTTCAATCGCGTAAAGAAATTGCTAATCCCTTGTCCATGCAGGGTATTGAGGTGAAGAGTGCAAATCTTACTTTTGTCTGAAGAGTAGTCCCAATGCACGAATCCTTGATATATTAGTTCATAGTGATCTTTCGGTTACGATTGAGGAGTGTCTCACATCGATTGATATTTGATATGACTTATTGAAGCACATGACCGTAGATGAGAGCGTGTGGAAGTCGAGGACTAGAGTTGTAGGTTAGGTCTCGGTAGGGGTGTTTCTCTTTGTATGTAAGGCTTTCAGGATGAATTTGATTTAGTTAGGTTTACCTTTATCTGTTGTTATTTACCGTTTCTCTTTTGCTTTCTTTTATCATGTTGAACTATACTAAGCACTGTCTTCTTTGCTTGTGTCTCTCTACCCTTCGGGTTCTCTCTACCTTTCTAGGTAGGGGTAAGGTCTGCGTAAACCCACCCTCCTATACCCCATTTGTGAGATTTTACTTGGTTGTTATTGATGTTGTTTGGCCAAGAATCTAGATAAAGGTGTCATATCAAGAGGGAGAGTGTTGGGTAGTGTTGGAAGAGTGTCCAATTGAACTCATTGGTGAATATCACTTGTGCCGTGGTGGTTGGGACTAGAAGTTCGAGGAAAAAATAATCTGAAAAGGTAGCAGAGGCTGATTTGCAACATTGGGTGCTAGTTTTTACCTTAGAGTGAGTTGCTTGGTGGCCCTTCAGTATACGTAACCATTTGAGCATTGTGATTGGCGTAGAGATTGCTCGGTCCTAGGGGAAATTTATTCTGGTTGGTTGCCCTTCAAAGTGGGACTATATACTACATGGGCTGCTCTCTATCTACCTTGCCTTCACTCCGTTTTGCTTTTCTTGGGGTTGGCAATAGCTCATTTTGTACTATTCTTTTAAGGATGTTGCATTTCACAGAAGTATGTGAACCCTAACATGGATACACAATAACATAAATAGGAGATTGTTGGACATCATCTTCTATGCCATTTTGTGATTTGCAATGTTTGATGGTATTGACAATTTTATAATTGTGGGTGTTCTCCATTAGGCCAAATGATTAGAGATAATCTCAAACCCATTCGTTTAAGCTTTGCATGAATAGATGTTATTGGTTAACTTTCTTATAGTATTCCAGTTGTTTAGAATCCACTATTCCATTGTACAATTTTAAATCAATTACTCCGTATTTAGAAATCACACTACTCTATAAGTTGTGATCAATGACATTACTTGTACTCATTGCCTTTCAAAACAACGTTACTAGTTAGTAGTTACCATTACTCTTAAAACACTGCATCACCTTGTCATTATTTCGTAGAACAGGGGCTTGGTAGTTTGGTTGTTGGAACACAATCATGTTCATTTTATTTGTCATAGCGTTGATTTTTTAATTCTTGGATGAGCTGTTTGTCACTTTGTCTGCTAGTAAGTGTCGGTTAAATTTTGTACACACTCTTCCCCATTCCCAGTGGTGCGTGTTTATTTTGTGATTACAGTGAGGGTGGTGATCTTTTCTCCAAGGCAGGAAAAAGTAGAAATGAAATATCCAAAAGCTTAAGTTTTTGAAATTGTGTTTAATCTTTTGATGGTTTAAACAAAGTGGTAAACAGTAATAAGACTTAAAAGATTAAGGAATTTATGAAAGTATATGTTAAATGTTACGGAGTATCTTAAAAGAGATGCAGAAGCCTTTACATTTGCCAACTTATCATTTCGAGCAGTTTCAGTTCCTATTTAAAAATTTTCAGCTGAGTCTTTAGATAATTAATTTTCAAAAGTATTGTATTTGTTGTACAGAGTACTAGGTATACAAATCTGCTTCGCAGATATGTATAGACAACAATTTTCAGTATTTTCGATAATGCAGTTTTTTCAATGTTTTTTATCATGTCTCCTCTCATCTCTTGTAATTTGAAACATTTTATTCACATTTCTGTTGATGCCCGTTCAATATCAACTTTTATCTACTATAGTTTTCATTCTCTTTGTGTTGGATGTTAGTGTGTCATAGATGATGGTTGAGCTTTCATATATGGGACCTGATGTCATTGTTGATGAAGTGTCCTAGAAACCTTTGTATTTTGTTTATTGTTATTCTTCAAAACATGTATTGATGTATCTATCACTTGTACATTGTATGATTACTTTTTCTTTTATTCTCATTATCTATGCCTGTAAGTTCTCGGTCTGATGGAATCTTCTTCATACATTGCAGGAGTCAATAACATGGTTCAAGGAACTTGTAAGTACTTTCCATGTTTCTCTTTCTTGTAAAACAACACCATTAATTTTATTTTTGCATCACATAGAGAAGGTGAATAATCAAGCCTACAACACAATTTAATTCTGAGAATGATTACAAAGGAAGGCTATTAAAGAAGTACAAAATACGGAGTATTATGTAAAACACATGCAGTAATATACACTTAAATGTTTTAAAAGTTAATGCTCCCAACTTGTCGGAACGGCCCAAATCCAAACACATCGGTCATAAACAAACATCTGTCGACCTTTACGCAAAACAACCAAAATCCAAAATAAGCCGACCTTGAAAGAATCAAATCGACCTGTTTGAAAACTCCAGTTCCTTCCATATAAATAATGGATTTCATTAACTAATTTCTGATCTTAAATATATACACTATGTTACAAAACACTGAATAGTCTTTCATCACAATATAGCTTTTATTCATTCTACTTAATTTTCAGTCGTGGGAGGAAAGAATGCAAACTGCAAATGACCAAGGGACACTTGTGCTACTCCGAAATCTGGATCCTGTGTACATCTCAGTAGAAGTAGAGGTATTTACCTTAAGATTTGAATTATTTTACACAAAGATCGTAATTGCATGGTAAAAATACGCCTTGTGGGACGCCTCATAGGTTTTATGCCCAAATGAGTGCGGAGGTATACACCCATTTGGGAAATGATGAGGTATACAACTTTTTTTGGCGAGGCGTATGATTCACGGTGTATGTGATAAGGCGAACACAATGCCGAAAACCCACCTTTCGTACTAATTTTTCTTAAATCCTTTGTTTTTTGCACTGATGGTGTTATCTTCGCAGGATATAATTTGGTATGCATTTAAAGAGAAATGTTCAGCAAAAATGATCCAGCATAGTGCTTTCTCTAACCCTAATATTGGTATGAATATTTGTTTAAGAGCTATTTTCTATACATTTGTTGCATACATGTGAAATTCTAAGTCAACAGAAAACTTATGTGGGACATCTCAATACTCAATTTTCTAATTTCATAGAAATCCAATGTAGGACTTGTCAACAACAACAAGCAACACTATAAAGTCCCTAATATTGGTATGAATATTTGTTTAAAAGCTATTCTCTATACATTTGTGGATTACATGTGATACTCTATCTCAACAGAAAACCGTTGTGGGGGGCACGTCTCTATACTCAATATTCTAATTACAAATAGAAATCTAATCCAGGACTTATCCACAACAAAAACCAACCTAGGAAAGTTCACAATGTTGTCTCCGTGGTCGGTGTACTCAAGCATACCCTCCTTAAAGTGGTAGAGCAGTTGTTTTCAAAAGACCCCCTCCTCAAAAGAACACCAAGAACACAAGAGATACTCTTTAGGGTCTAACCACATCTTCGTTCCTTACATATTTTAATTGATCATTTGATAATAAAAATAGGCAAGCCAGCTTTTGTAGTACATTGCTTTTGATGTAGTGTATAAATATATAAACTTAATTTTTTTATATCTACACCAACTTTTAAACAAATTAAATATATAACACAATATAGGAACAAAGGGAGTATTTATGATGAAATAAAGAGAAAAAACAAAGGTATGGCTAATACAAATATTATATCAAAAAGAGTACGAGAGGCATAAAGAGAGAAGTAACAAGCCACTCATACCAGGAGTATAATCACAAGAAAAGCGCCTAAGTTACAATATAGATTCCCCACCAACCTAAACTTCCTTTCCCCCAAACAAAAATGTCGCCTAACGAACCCTATTATCTCAAACATCTAACATCACTTAGGCGCTATGATATGGACGTGCCTGAAAACATCTAAGGCAATGAGGATTTTTTTTCTGTATTTTATTCGCTTTCTGTAACATATGTTCTATTCATTTTTTCTATATATATATATATGTATATATGTATATATGTATATATTTATGTGTGTGTGTGTGTCTATACACACACACACACACACACACACACACACACACACACACATATATAGACACACACACATCGCCATATTGCACTCGCGTAGTGGACACCAAATCGCCTAGGCGACTAGAAGGTACTCTCTCGTCCGGCCTCGCCTAGTTTTCGTAACAACTATGATGATAGGATTAAAACATATTTGTATTTTTTTTATCTGTTCCCTTAACAATGGAACCACCGAAATGGTTGGTTAATCCAATTTCAACTTCCATTCACATCACCAAACCTTACAAAATTATATTGGAATTCTAAGTCAATCCAAAATAACCGGATCAAAATCATAACCATAATCTACCCAAACTGAATTCTAAGTTTATTTGACCCCTCCCGACCTTAATATTTTACCACCCGGCTCTTACCTGAAGTTAGTTCTTAACCAAAACCTACCCAAACTGACATTGACCTGACTCATATCCAAATCGACCCAACTAAGCTTCACCCTAACCTGACCCATCGCAAGCTTAAACTTGAACTCAACCCGAACCCAAAGTCCCAAACCATATTCTTATATTGAATGAAAGTTGGCCCAATCCAAACATAACCCCGCCCAAATCGGAACCCATCTTTAAATGCGTTGACCTAAATGACATTCGGCCTAAAGTACATCCATCCGTACCCAACCCGAATGACCTATTTGCAGGTCTAGTGTCAAGCATCATCATCTTTGCAATTTTTAGCTTCTGCACATTATTGTTCTTTGCTAGCCAATGCTCTGTCCCATAGAAGATAGCCTAACCATGGGTCTATGAAACTTGCATTTCATTCTAGGTGGTACACCATTGTCGCATGAGGCTCGTGGCACAAACCTTTATATCACCCAACCCACTTCGACACGATGAGTGATGTCACAGTCAATCTCTTTGAGTGATTGTCCCAAGAGCTCTCACAGTTTCAAGTCTATTTTTCCTCTTAGCAACCCCATTCTGTGCTGATGTGTCTACACAAGATGTTTGGTGAAGAATACCTTTCGACTCGTGTATGACGTAAACAGATCAGGGGAATAATCCTTGGCATTATCACTTTGTAGGATTCAAAGAGGAAAACCAAGTTGAGTCTTATCCCTAGTACAAAAAGAGCGGAAGCAAAAGAACAATTCTGAGCGACTCTCCATGAAATGGAATCATGCCGTATGAGAGTAATCATCGGCAAACAAAACACCTGAATCTAGGTTTCGACACTACTTTACGAGGATCCCAAACATGTGAATGAACCAACTCAAATGGAGGACGCATGCTTGTTTATTCTGGGATTTAAATGCACACAGTGATGTTAAGCAAATTTGCAAGACAGTACAAGTGATTTAGATTGTGAATCTGGTGACAATTTCTTCAACAAAGGAAGGGAAGGGATGGATGATGTAGGCGACAGCGAACTTCATAATGAGTTACTACCTCCTAAGAAGCAACTTTTTTAGGTATCTCACTCTCGTGAATATAGAGACCCTCATAGTCATATCCCTTAAGAATGACCTGCTTTGTTGAAAGATCTTGAAACTCAATGAGGTGGGAAAAAGGTTGTTCAACAAATCAAGGCACGTGTAAGCTTGCTAACAGATCCTCCCTCTGTCCCATATCTTTCTTCTCATTTTCCTTTTTGGACCCTGAAATGTCTTATATGATATTCCTATAAACCAAGTGAACTGAGGGTCCGTTTGGATAGCAGGAAAATGACCTCGTGAAGTCATTTTCCTTCCTCTCTGGTGTTTGGCGCAGTAATGGAATTGGGAGTCAATGAAAAACACTGCTCTAGTCAATGGAAGTTGAAATCTGGAAGTTGTTTACTTGTTTTCCGCTTTGCACTGCGTCCTTCCTCTTCCGTCCAGCTTCTTCATTGTCCCTCTTCTCTCTTCTTTCTTGTCTCAATGGCCTTTTCTGGCCATTTACATTGCTTTCTTCCCTATTATTCTTCGCCCATCTCTCAATTGTCTCTTTCTTTGTCGACCTTGACCTAGGGAGCACTATTCTTGATACTCTCACCCTCTTATTCTGGTGAATTGGTAGCCACTGATTCAGGCAGGAGATGCTGGTTTGATGGTGGCGACTCCATGGCTATCTTCTTTTCACCCTCTTAGTTGGTAAGAATTAGGTTATTATATTTTTAATTTATAGTTTGGATTTTTTCAGAATGTTTCGTAATATTTTTTTACAAATGTGTTGGATTGATTATCCAAAAAGGTTTGATTGATCGAAAAATCAAAATTATACTTCGTGTTGAAAAGATTTTGAAAATTCCAATTAAAAGGAATGGGCTGAATTGATAGATATTTTCTATGTTCTACTTTCTGAAATTGTGATGGTTGCTTGCTGCCATTTGTGTATTGTGCTTCAAGAGTGGAATGAACTGAGGAGGAGGTGGTGGTAGTGGAGTGTATTGTGTTCATTTTCCGGATATTCATTTTCTGAAAATGAACCAAATAGAAATAAACAATATTCTTACTTCCAGCCAAACACCATAAAAGGAAAATGACTTTAGAAAAATGGTCCATTTTCCAGCAGTAATTTTCCAGAAGTTATTTTCCTTGTTACCAAACGGACCCTAAATATTCGAGTAGAATCACTACTAATATCCTAATCATATCCGCCTTTGATATGCTATGCTGAGTCAAAGGGTCTCTTGGAAGCTTCTCTTCTCTTTAACCATTTGTAGATCCCACTTTGTGGTCCCTGTTTCTATGTATGTAATGCTATATCAACCTCCTCAAAGGGGATGTCTTTAGTTGTGGATTGCCCCAACCTAAATTCGTTCTCAGAAATTATCACCTCCTTAACTTCTTGTCAACCACTCGTTCACATGCTTTTATAGTGTTATCGAATTATCATATTCCACCTACACAGGAATTTTAGCAGCCTTAAAATGACATTATACACTTCACTGAACTATCCCTATCATCAACCTCCTCAAATGGGGATATCTTTAGTTGTGGATCTCCCCAACTTAAATCATGTGTTCACATGCTTTCATAGTGTTGTTATCAAATTATCGTACTCCACCTGCGATACTTAGGCCTTTTAGCTGTCTTAAAATGACATTATACACTTTAGTCAACTACTCAATCCCTTCCGTGTCTGTACTCTTCGAGAACAATATTGGGATCTTGTTTGGCCCGGTTCCTTGGCTCCTCGTCATCCTACAAATAGCTTCATTGAAATCCTTAGCACCTCCTTAGCTGCATCCCTAATGCAATTAGCAATTCTAGCATACATGCTGTTATCATCCCCTAATGCTACCCTCAAAACCCTAACCTCAACTTATTTGCCTACTCTTGACTCTTAAACTTGCCTAATTGTCCCCAATTAATAAGAGATTGTCTGCGTAAGGCTCTCTTCTTCTTAGGCCATTTGATTTCCACATCCATTGTTAGCAACCTATGTTGTGTCAATAGGCTCTCTCTCAGAGTAACCTTGGAGTCCTAATATCAACCTCTCACATTTTCATGCATTGCCAATAGAGCTAAAGAGTTTTTTTTGACAATGTTTACTAAATCATAATGGAACATTAAACTTCCCTTTTGTGAAGTTTTGGGTAGTAAATGCAGCGATGCATCTTTTAAGATTCTGTACATCTTGGCCCTAGACCTCAACAAAGTTGGGATTATAGTGGGTTGTTGTATAATTGATTTGGGTCTTCACCAACAAACTACAAAAAGTGACCCGGTATTCTTATTGCTTCATAAATTTTGAACTTGCCGTTAACCTGGTCAAAGCTGCTTACATACTCTAGAAGAGAGACCACTCAGACATTCTTGCCCCCAAAACAAAAGCCACCATGCACATCCCCATACTCCAAAGATGAACTCCCAACATAGCCATTAAAATAGCACCTATTATTAGCTTCTGGGTGTGTGGGATACTCTTAACGATTTGATCCAAATATTCCCACAACTTGTTCAAATCCTTCTCCAGCCTTACTTAAAGGAGCATAAGCTCTCAAATCTTGATTAAAAGTACATGTACAACTACTAAGCTCTAGTTTAATATTCATCAAGCTATCATTCACCGATGTGACCTCTACCATGTACTCCCAAAGATTCCTATCAACTTGGATGCTAGACCCAATTTTTATCACTTTAGACACATGAATGGCACTTGTACTTTGCCAGCATAAGCGCTCTTGATCTTTAAAGTGGGACTTGTCAATACTCATGTTACTAACTAAAGATTAATTCATAAAAGTCCTATTACAGTTTACTAAATTTATTTCTATTTTCCCGCTAGGTCAAGCTTTGGCTATTTTTAAAACAAGAGATGCAGCGGAGAAGGTCATAAGAATGTTAAAAAATAGATACCTATTGGTGTCAGAACAAAGGTTTGACTTCTCTAATTGATTTATTATAATGCCTAATTATTGTTAATTTTTGTTGTCGACTATGTTCCTCCCATTGCCAATGGATCAGATAAAGTCGTTTTTGATAGTTTTTGTCTTTGTTTAATAATGGACTAAATCAAAATGGCACATTAAGCTTCTTTCGCTTCATACTTTTTATGATCTTTTGTGGAGTATTTGCAGCAATGCATCATGGGGCTAAGAGAAACCACCTCTTGCTTTTTATAGGAGTATGGTTGCATACATCTTGACCCCACCAACAGAGTTGAGATTATATTGAGTTTGTTGTTTTCATTGAATATATAGTTCCTTTGGGTCACTATTATACGTTTTAGAATATATCATAAATTAGCTTTAGGAATGGTATAGACTTGCTTTTCGTTCCCTTTGTTTTCTTTCCCTCTCCATTTGCTTTCCTCCCTTTCAAATTCACAGTTTGTTTCCTTTCTTCCCCGTGTGATGTCCTTTTTAATTCATAGTGGTATGGTACTTTGACACATGGCTTGTGTTATAAGAAAGACATAGGGGTAGTGGGGTGCCTTTGTAGGAGTTTGTTTACTTTTAGTTTAGATTTGAAGAGGCATTGAGGTAGACCAAGGAAGAATTAGAAAGAAGTGATTTAAACATGAGCCTTCAACACCGTATCAATGGATGGCCTAATACAAACAACTTATTGATTTAAACGTGTTTTGATTTATTTAAGAGTAATTAAGCCTTCGTCGAGGAAGCCTATTTTTTTAGAGTACTATTTTGATTTATTTGTTATCTTTGGGTTAAATATGTTTCTAGGCCCTCTAAAATAGGCGACTTTTGCTTTTGGTCCCTGTAATTTTTTTTGTTTAAGTCATCCTTGAAAATAGTTCTTAAACGTAAATATCACTTCTTATTTTCTAGATAACACATTTATTTCATATTCAATTTCGTGGTCTTTCATTTCTAATTACCTCCAACACAATTCTCATTCCCTAAATTTGATATTTATTCATATTACATCTCCAATTTTCAAATTTCTCGGGAATATATTATAATAAAATTTGGACAATGAGATGTAGTTTGATGAAGGACACAATTTCATGCATGATAATTGTATATGATGTAATTAGAAATGCAAGAGTAGGATGTTGAATACAAAATAAATATCCTATCTCAAAAAATTTGATGTCTTAATTATGTTTAAGGACCATTTTTAAAATTAAAATTTTTGTAAGGTTAACTGAAACATATTTTTTTACAGGGACTAAAAACAAAAGTTGCTTATTCCACGGGGATTAAAAACATATTTAACCCTTTATTTTTTGAAAAGTAATATTTTGAATTTCCAATTTTGAACAATGTTTCAAGGTTGTTTGTTACATTTTTGCTTCCTTGGTTATTAAACTTTGAATTTTATGAATTACAATATATTACTTCCTCCGTTCTTGAAAACACTTCCGCCCTAATTTGTTGTGCACCCTATAAAGTACTTTTACTTCCACCTAAAATGTCTAAAATACATCTCATTATGTAGTTTATTGCGGGTAGAAGTTGTTTTGGAGATATTTTAGACATTTTAGGTAGAGTAAAAGTATTTTATGGGGTGCACAAAAAATTAGGGCAGAACTGTTTTCAAGAATGGAGGGAGTATGTAAATCACAATTTTATTGATGACAATTAATATTGTGTATTCTCAGTTTCAATAAACCACAATTGTAACCACCATCTCCAGTGTCTACACTATTGAATACACAAAATTCAAGGCTATTAGATATGTTGTGGAGTATAGATCCAACAACTCCATTGTCTACTCTGTGTCCGCCCTCAACAGCCACATTGCTTTCACCAGTTCAATCACCTTCTACTCCTCAGCTCCTCTACTATCATTACCACGTGCACACGAGGAAGCTGTTATCAAACTTGAACTTGCCATTAAACCATTAAAGATCACGATTAAACGATCCAATATTTAATTTGCAAGCCAACAATTCATGGTCGATTCTACACAAGCGATGTCACGGAATGATGGTATAGTAAATATCTATTTCACTACTAGCAAGGCACATGCAACTTTGCAAAAATCATCCATTTGGCAAGCTACTAAATTTTTTTGGGCTAGAATTGTTAACTTCCAACCCCTTCAACTCTTTCTAGTTTCTTCCAACTCTTAGTTTCTTTTAGCTCCTAGTTTTTTTATCTGCTTCAAATTTTTTTCATTCTGAATTGATTTTTTCACATGCATTTTTCTCCAATTATTATTATTATTATGAGTATTCTTATTATTTTTATTATGATTATTATAATTATTGTTATTATTATTACTAGCTTAAGACGCACTTTGTGCGTGTGGGACCCAAGAGAGTTTCTGTCTTGATTTAGAAGGCCCTTAACAATAGCTTTTACACACCCCCTTCAAGAGGTAGTGTTTACAGAAGAGGCACATAGCAGCTTCTATTTTCTACGGAGTAATATTTACACATGATGCAGATTTTAAGAGCAGTTGGGACCTTAGATTCTCCAACTTATGTTATTGCTAATTTGCTATAGAGCTCCTTGCAAAAATCATACAGCCCCATCAGGTTTATTTTTTATATCAAACCTACAACACCAAAAGGGAAATGTCAAGTGTAAATATGTGCATACAAGTGCTGCAAATTCTATTAAAGCGGAAAGGTTTGGTTAAAATAATATGTCCGTAACTAAGAGCATCTATTTACACAAACATTATCTGTAAAAATGTCTAAATGAAGAAAATCATAACCAAAACAAACAGGAAAACAAATCGAATACACCAAATGAAGTAAAAAACTTCTACTTTTTAAAATAAAATGCACAATCCAAGTAGTCTTGAAGATTACAAATTTAAATTTTATGGAGTAATTTCCTGAGTGAAAACGAAGCAGGACATATAACTTTCCAATTTCCCTTCTATTTTTATTTGTAAAAACAAATTGCCTTTTGGCTTTAACATGTTTTTTGCCATGCTGTAATGAGGTTTTCCTTTGAGACAATATATCTTAGGTACCTATGTTTCACATGCTATCTTTTCGATAGAGGCGCACCGCATTGGGTAACCTGTTAGTAGCTCATCCCATATTTGAGATTGTGCAGTGTGGTACCCAAAATATTAGTAGATTTTGTCTCTTGTCAGAGTAGCATGGGGTTGGAAATTAAAACTCACAAGAAATGATATTAAAGCAATATACAGGGCAGCATATTTTCACAAGAAATAGTTTACGCAGAGTCAAACATTAATTCAATTCTTAATTGCAACAGAGAACAAATAATACTTGAGTAAACCCTCTCCATTTAAAGGGAATGCTAATCACAAGTACTCCGGAGTGGCTAACACCATGCCTAGTCTCTTTCTTGCAAAAGTCTGGTTTGAAGTTCTTAGGTTTTAAAATACAAATCAAACATTTGATTAAAACTTGAATTTTCAATTTTCATCCAAAAAAAATATGAAATAGGAAAGTAATACTGATATAAATATATGTATATGTGTGTGTGTGTGTGTGTGTGTGTGTGTATTCATATATTCCATAAGTTTTTATCACAAACCTTCCTTGGTTGCCAGTCAAAGTCAGTGATGTGAATACATGCCTATACAACAAATATTGGAGAAGAAACAATAATCCTCTAACTTTCCAACACTTTTTCTTGGACTTTGTGAAATCAAAGCCCGAAGTTTATTTCAGGACAAAGGGAGTAATATATATTTCAATTCCTTTAAAGTGTTTTCCCACTGTTTCCAACTTTTTTTCCGTTTCTTCCATCCCTTCGCAGTTTTTAAAGTCCTAGTTTATTTCAACTCTTTTCATCTTTTTCCAACTTCATCCAACATGCAATTCTCTTTGTCCAATCCAAAAGAACAGAGCTTAACGCTTCCACGCTTTGTGAGGTAATGCCAACAGTAGCTTTTTAACTTCTCCAGGGTTTGCATATGATTCCGTTTGATTGAGGAAAGTGTTTGTGCAAAGTATTATTAGCTTTTTACTATTGTTATTAATGCAGAGTATTAATAGTTTCCTATTATTATTATTATAACTGTAACTATTGTTGTTATTATCATTATTATTATTAGTAATACTATTATTATTATTAAGAATATTAATTGTTTCCTATTGGTAGTTTAATTCTTTTTAGGTTAATATTCGTAATAATGATTTATATTTCTCAACAAACCCAGTATAGTTCCAAAACTATTGGAGTTTGAGGGTCAGGATGTACAGTCTTACCCTGCTCAAATATAGATGCTTTTTCTGTTACACCCTTACCCTTGATGGCGCGATGCGTTGCTGCATTTACTGACAGGGGTAGTAGTCTTTAATTTTGATTGACTGAGTAATTAGTGGTGAACCAGGGAATTTGAAAATTAAATGCACACCCAATAAAGAGGCCATCGACGGACCCAAATGAAATAAGGAACAAACTTGGTGGTATGGTAGCGGTAACTCTTTATATTTGCAGGCCACTTGTTGCTGACATTATAGCACTTCCCAAATCCCAAAGAAGCTCTTCATTTGTTGGCCATCTTGTGATTGATAAAGTTAGACATCAAATGCAAAGAGAAATGGTCAGATCTCTTTCTCTCTCTATCTTACACACAAAATATCTTACAATGATATTGAGTTATTCTGATTATTTATTTATGAGTAAAAGCTCTCTGAGTTCTGAAAAGTACCTTTGATCAGAAAGAAGCTGTGTCTACATCTCACTGCTCTCAACCCAACACCATTGAATATGAAATGGCCATGGAGTGGCGATTACGGCAGTCTCGATCTGAATTCTGCTGGAAGACGCTGCACAAGGTACACTAAATCAGCACAATATTATCCATGCTTGACTGAATTTACCATTTCTTTAATTTTAGCTCTTTGTGCCATTTATATTACCAGCAACAGGGAGACGAGCTTAGAAGAGCCGCTGCTAAATTGAAGACATAATAAAACTGTCATAGTTTCCTATGGTGAGTGTTGAACGTTCTACATCATTGCTTGCAAGTTACACTGGTATCAACTGAACTCTTTGAGCTGTATTAGAACAACATAGTACTAATGACTTCAATTTAAAGGAACATTTTAAAAGTGTCTGCCCATTTCAGTTTTAGGGAGTGTTTGGCAAAAAAGAGTTAATAGATAACATACTTTTTCCATCCCAAATTGACCTGATCATGTGAAAGTGACACGAAGATTAAGAGTGAGTAAAATTATTTAAATATCCCCATCATTTTTTTGGGTACAGTAAAAGTGTAGTAAACTGTGGTAAATACATAGGTTCTTGAGATTAAAAGTGTCTTTTTAATATATTAAAAATAAGTAAAAAGTGTGTGCCAAAAGAGGAGATAAGAATATAAGATCTTTTTAGGATGTATAAAAAAGGAAAGTCGGAATGGAAGGAGGGTGTCGCAGCTAGCAGTTAACGGTTTGTGTTAGCATGCTTAACTTAGCATCATGCAGAAAAAAGTAAAACTAAAAAACTGTATTCAAAATGCTAATACTATGAACAGTTAAAGTGTTTGGTAATTTGTCTTATGACTAGTAAAAAATGTTATTTTGGGGCAAATTGCCAAGAAAAAAACAGCATAATGGCATAATGCTGAGTAATATGCTATTTGCCAAACACACACTTAGATTGTAAATTGTAACTATTCCTGTTTCTTGGATATGCGGTGCTGCACGCAATAGGGAAGCTCAGGACTATATAGTTTTGTCAGTGGTTGTTTTAAAATAATTGTTTTTTATCATTATCAGAATAATTTCCTGGAATGACATAAATTGTCTTTTGTTGTAATCTTATTAAATGTCATTAATCAGCTAATAAGCTATACCTGAATTTTTCTACTTCTTGTTTAGGAGTTACGCCTTATTGATTAGAAATTACAGGGTAAATGTAGACTAAGCTTGGGTATCCAAATTGAAATATATTTTCTCACTTAAAGAAAATTGAAAAAGATATATTAGAGTTTTTTTAGACGAATATCAAGGAATCTAATACACTAATGCTCAATCTATTGTTTTTTTCTTAGTCATGAAATGAAAACGGGGGAGGAAAGATAGACCTTTGTAGTGTTGCAAATTAGTACTTGATACCACTACAGACACTAAGAACCCGTTTCGTGAGCGTAAGAGATATGGGTTTCCATATCTCCGAATATCAAATTTCTTTTTCAGTGTTTGGTGAGGCATAAAAACAATTTGAATTCAATATCTTCAGATATCATAAATCTTCCAAATGGAGGGTTTCGATATCTCCCGAATTTGGGAGACACCAATGTAGGGATTTGATATCTTCCCCAACCGTCAATCATTTCTCGCCACCGGTTACCACTGTCACCGCCAAGCACCCCCATTGCCAACGACCCCGCCAATCACTAATTAAATCATGATTTTAGATCTCTTCAAGCAACTTCATTTTAGATTTCGAATTCAATATCATTTCACCCAAATTTCAAAATCCATATCATATCATATTTCCATAACTCACCAAACAAGTATTTGACCATATCTGGCATGCGCTTTTGATCTTTATTGGGTAGTGTTTTTTTAATTCTTAACAACTTTTCTTCTTTTTTAGCTTTATGTGGTTGGCTTGGTGATAATCTCTACACGATTTTTTGTTATTGGGGTTTGCATGGGTTCATAGTTAGATTTCGGACTTATGTCCATCACAGTCTAGGTGAATGTATTGGATGTCAATGTTATAGATAGAGATTGACTATCCACCTTTGTTATTCTCATTTTCTTATTAGCTGAAGAAATTCTACTTTTAAGAATAAAGGTTTTGCTAAAAGGACGATGGAAGCATTTCATTGGGTGAAATAATAACTGCATACATGTTTACCGTTCGCTCATTGAAATGCTTCCATTTCATCCTTAAACACAGCCGTGGCAAAACCATAAGAATAATAACTGCTTTCATGTGAAGTGCTCTTCTTCAAAATTCTTTTTTTCCTTCTTTTAACCATTCCCTTTCAAAACTGCAGTGGGGGGGGGGAGTTAGACTAGTAGCGGCGCCGTCGAAGTGAAGGTAGAGCTTTGACTGTATGAATAATGGTTCTATGTCGATATATCCTTTTGTTGCATGTAATTTTTTTTCCAGGGAAGCATTGTTTTGGTTTTGGTAGGAGTGTATCAAACCTGAACGTGTCTTGTTATATAGCCGAGCATGAGTCATGCACATCCCAAACAGTTAAGCGAACCCCGTGCATGATGAGATGAGATGTTTAAATTTGTTTATGTTACTCTTGNGGGTAGCTTAGTTTGATCAGTACAAAGACAATAAAAATACTCCCTTCGTTCTATAAAAAATTCCAGCTACTATTAATGGTACTATCTTGTATACGGATTATTATTATCTAATACATACGTAGTATTTTCGTTGATTATTTGTAAAAATAATTTAGTCAAATCATTTTTGTGGATTTTTAGTTTTATATGTAGATATATTGACTCAAACATTACGAGGTAAGGGTGATGGGATAAAAACACTAAACAAATAATTAAAGAAACATTACTCCTTCGGTCCTAAAATCATCTTTCCGGTTTGACTTTAAGCCATTTTGAAGAGTGTAAAATATGCATTGACTTCCCAAATATGCCTTTAGCTTTAAAAGTTAGAAATAAAACATTTACTCCCTCCGTCCCAATTTAAATTGCCTGTTTTGATTTTTGGGGATATTTAAGGAAAATAAAAAATAGAGTTGATTTTTTTGAAATTGACATTACTTTTTATAAGGGGTGATGATGAATGAGAAGATAAGGTGAAGAAGAGTGACTTATTTTAGGGGTAGTTTATGTATTTTATTTTTAAAAGTTTACGAAAATAACTAACAGGCAACTTATTTTGGGACGGAGAAAAAAGGCAAACAGGCACTTTAAAATGGGACGGAGGGAGTATAAAAAGTTCATAAGATCTACATAAGTATTGAATTCCAAAAAGAATTTCTAAGAAGGAAAGAACAATATTGAAGGTTTGCATAATTTAAGAAATATCAAACAACCACTGCAAAAGTTAAAATAATTTTACCAAAGCTCTTATTTTCCTTTAATTAAAAGTAGATCTCAAGAAAAGAATCTTCTTTCTCTTCGATTTCCACATAGCAACATAGGGAGAGGTCGAGAGAGATTGGTGATGCCGGGATATGGCACTAGCGATTGGAATGGTGACGGCGGCGGCAATCTTTTCCTCAAGGCTAGTCACGATCAAAGATGGATGTGGGTTATTGCTCCCTTGCAACTTAAACGACGGTGGGGAGGATGTGGGTTGTGGAGCGGCAACCTTGCAACCTAGGTTTCCCACACATCGAAAATCCAGAATTAGATGTGGACTATGGCAGCGACCATCAGAAAATAGATCTAGGCTAGGGGCATCAGCGATCGGAAAACAAATTTGACCAGATTAGATCTACAATTGGATTAGGGAGAAGTTGGGCGGAAAAGATTAGATCTGACCGGATTGAAGTTGGGCACAATCATTCCGGCGAAGAAACAAATCTAGCGGTAGCGAAAATTAGGTCTACAATCGGATTGGGGAGGGAAGAGAGATAGCGAGGAAGACATGATTGAGAGAATGAGATTGGCTGGGAAGGTTGGAGGGGAATGGTGAGGGGTATATTAGTCATTGTACGTCCTAATTTTGAAAGTGAGAAGATAGTTTAGGACGGAGAAAAAAGAGAAATGGAAAAAACATTTTAAGACGGAGGAGGGAGTATTTCCATTCTCCTCTTTGAAACTTCTCTTACTAGCACAAATTTTAATGTGAAAAGAAAAAAGGTGTTGGCATTCCAAAATTGCCCTTTACCCATTCATACTCTTCCACTTCCCTATCCGTTCTCAAATTTCAAACGCAGGTATTCATCCAAATCAAAACCAAATCCCAGATTTGAACTCAACTCAGAAACAAAATCAAACCAATACCAAAACAAGTTTGAATCCAAATTCAAATCAAAACAAAGGGTGAACAATTTAACTGACTCGATTGTCAAATTGATGCTAATAAACCTAACCAGCTGATGTTTTGATTTCAATTTTTAAGTTTCAAAATTTTCAGTTTAGTCGGTTTTCTGGTTTTGGTTTGTTTCATGGCATTTGCGATCGGGGTGGGCACGGTCTGGAACGATTAATATTTTTAAACCCGTACCGTAACGTTATTATCCAAATGATTTGGCACGCGGTTTTGGTTTTATGCCTAAACTCATTCGATACCATGTTGTTCGGAAACTGATGGTACTATGTTATTCCATATCATACTGTTTTGACGTTTTAAAAATATTTTTATTCATAAAAAAAACATAATTAAAAAAAATTGGTGCACAATTACTTTTATTCATTCTTATTCAACGTGTATATTTTACCTACAGCTTTTGACATAATATAATTGTAGTTTGATTTTTTAACAAAGAAAATTATAATTCTAGTTGTACTCCCAGAGTCTGGGGTAATAAAGTACTATAAAAGTATAAATTTAAGTATATTAAATTCCCAACGAATAAATTTGACTTAAACTTAATAAAGAATAACAAATGACAATGAATAACTAATTCATTAATTTAATATTATAGTGCTAACAGTTTTGTTCGATATTTTTTGGTTTATTTTTTGAGAACTCGTCACATACTATTTTAAAAATGGTTCGGTTCATGATATATTTTACCAATATCATTTGAAAACCCGCTTTTTGGTTCAGTACAATGTCGGTCTTGTCTGGAATAATGTTGTGCCAGTATTTTTGCCAAACCCTAGTTTGCGACTGAAAGCAACCGAATAACAGAACCAAATTAGTTACACTCCCTTCGTCCCCATTTAGTACAAATTGGGATTTACGAGGCATAATCTCTTATTTTTAAAATTATTTTATTTATAAATTGGTACATCAATAAAAAATTACATATTAAAATACTTTGTTAAAAGCTATACAAAAGAAGAAGTGATAAGAATATTTTATTTTATCAAATAATCAATGATGAAATATAAATAAGAAAAATTTATCGAATATAATTAATATAACGACGGAGTGGCTAAATTTCATGTTTGGTACACCAACCTTGACATTTATTTCACTTCGGTATACAAACTTTTTTTCTATCAGAAAAGTACTCTAACTTACCAGTTTCTTTCACCGACGGTATTTTAGCCAGTTTCCAGGTACTCAATCGGTTACCAATCCTACGTGGATGCCTACTCGGCGCACCCATTTAAATCACACCCTTCTTCTCTCTCCTCTCTCCTCTCTCCTCTAATGCATCATCATCCGACAAAGCCATTAAAGAAGGAAGAAAATTAACCGTTGGGTTGGAGAGACTCCCTTCTTCTACATATATAGCTCTCTTTCTTCCATCCTCTTGTCCCAATTAGAAACCCTAATTTTGAGAGAGATTTTTCAAATTTGATGTCTACCGTCTCTAGCAACAGCTCCTACCGTGGCGCATCAGTGCACTACTGCAGATGCCGTGAACCTGTAGTGTGGAAGACCTCATGGGCTGATTCAAATCCTGGAAGGCGGTTTGTTGGGTGTCTTAATTATGGGGTAAGTGTACTGAAATTTCTGAACTTTTCAATGGATGGTCGTTGCGACTGGGATTTTGGTTGAAAAGGGTTATTTGTTTTTGTAGAGTCCCAAATTTTGTCAGTTTATGGAATAGAGAGATCCGGAAGTTCATCCACGATATCGAGATGTCATTCTTGGCTTAATAAGAAGGTTGAGAATATAAGAGAAGAGAAGCCGAAGGACAAGAGTTTATGTGGACGTCACACATGTTGGATTTGTCTATTCTTGGTAGTGTTGATTGCTTTTTTCATATTTTTTTGACAGCGATTGCTTTTTTCATTGTTTTACAATTGTAAGGGTTGTGTATGCCAAGAGTGTTAGAGTAGTGGCCAGTGATTTATTTAGCCTGGTGAAATGTTGTCGTTTAGTGGATTGTAGAATGATTTTTGTTCAAGAGTAATTGTAGACTGATTTATTATGCAGAATGATTGTAGACTCATTTTTGTTCAAGAGTGATTGTAGATTGATTTATTATGCAGAATGATTGTAGACTGATTTTTGTTCAAGAGTGGTTTTTTAAATGGCAGCAAGTTCTGTAACACCCTAATCCGTCCACGTCTGCAGCTCCTTTCGGACTAAAGTATTAACTTGGTAATCGTAAAAATTTAAAACTTTTCAAACACATTTTATTTATCATAGTAATATTTTTCATAACATATACAGTACGGAGTATTCAATAATATTGCGAAAGCGAATTTAATATTGATATATCATAATTCATTTCAAAACTTGTCACATCCATCCCGACAATCTCGCCCCATCTGCCACCAGGATCACATTGTTCTTTTCTGTTTACCTGCGTGTAGCAAATAAAACACACTACACGCTCAGCGGTAAAGCTGAGTAAGCATATCTAATGCGTCAAACATCTATATAAATTGAATCTAAATTCATAGTCAAATCATTTGATATCATGCACACAATGTTCATTTCAGACATTCACAGTTTTGATATTGTTTAGTTCATATCAACATATTTTATTAAATTCAAATATTATTTCGACAATCTATGGCCAACGATAATAACAATGTTCTTAACTATTCCTAGTCTAAGGCTAACGATAATAACAATGCTCTTAGCTATTCTTAGTCTAAGGCCAAATCATAATTTCATTCTCAGACGCTTAAACTATGATTAGTTTAAGGCATACAATCCTTAGATGCTTAAACTATAATTAGTTTAAGGCGACAGTTCTCCGACGCTTAAACCATAATTAGTCTAAGGCAATAACACTCTAACGCTTAAACTTTAATTAGTTTTAGGAAATAGTTCTCTGACGCTTAAACATTAATTAGTTTAAGGCAAACAACTGTTAGAATAAAGGCCCAACGCTAGAGGGGGGGGTGAATAGCGTTTAAAACAAAACCGCAGGAAATTAAAACGAGAGCGTTAAAGTAAAGAGCGTAAGGAAGGAGCACACCGGATTTTATCCCGGTTCACCACAACGTGTGGCTAATCTAGCCCCCCGAGAGACGCTCTCGAGCTACACTAACTACGTTAAGCTTAAGGGTGCTTAACAAACCGATACAACTTGAGAACCCGAGTCACACGAGCCTCAACACCTTTGCTCGGAGATACCGCACTCCAAGACTTCTCACGAAGGAACAAGGAACTTCCTTCGAGTTTACAACAAGGGAACGACCTCTCTTAAAGTGTATGAAAACACTTAAAAACTCAGGAATAAAACTCTCACAAAGAGTAGATATGAGTGAACTAGTAAACGCTCAAGAACACGACAATTTCTTCAAGAATTGGCTCTCAAATAGCTAAGAAAAATAGGAATTCTTATGCAATGAAGGAGTATTGAAATGTTGAAGAATTGTGTATAAAATGAGAGGATTTGGGTGCCATTTTATAGCCCAAAATGGGATAAATCCATTGCTAGAGTTTCCAACAGGATGAAGACAAATTTTTCAGAGACACAGGGTGATAGTCGATTGTCAAAGCTTGATAATCGATTATCCAAAGATTCCCTGTCCAAAAATTTAAAATTCTATCCGTTGGAGGACAACGGTAACCCAGATAATCGATTGTCAACAAGTGATAATCGATTATTGGTCCTCTCAGAAGATTCTAGGTTTTGGCGGCAAAGACTGATAATCGATTATTGCATAAGTGATAATCGATTATGGC